AGGATATCACTCCCTTCATTTGTCTAGTCAGCATGGCTTCAGATATAGGCATACGACACCGATGAGAACGTCAAAGTCAAAATCTGGAAGGTAAGACAGGCCTTCATTATTCTGAAGCCAGTTTGAAAGACTACTTCACTCAGCATAAAGAACAAGATTCGAGTTCTCAACATCAATGAAACTTGGTGCATCAAGTAAAGCATTTCTAAAAAGCCAATAAAAACCTTTATGAACAGCTGCCCACTTCGCTGGCTTCATACTGAAAAACAAATGGCCCACTAGAAAGAATTAGCAAACAGAAACTCTGGGTGATAATGAACCAATCAAGAAACTATCGCCCAATAGATATTTCGAAGCAAAAGCGAGGTGGTTCGGGCAGACGCTGGGTAGATCGTCAGATGACATCGCATGCCAAGCCAGTGCTGGAGGGGAAACAGTGGTAAACGATGAGTGGGGCATGTGTGAGTAGCAGGTGTAAGTTGATGGGCGATCGTAGGACTAGCTAAAGAGGACCGCAAAGAATAGGACAAAATGGAGACGTGCTCTTAAAGCCCTATTTCCCACTTGCGACCCAAGGGAAAAATAATTATAATAACTACATTTTATTGCCTCTGATAAGGACTTTCGCTTGATGAAAAGTATGGTTTTCTGATGATTTTACATCAGAAACTAAATTAAGTACTACTTAAATGGTGGTGAATAGCAATGGAATCCAGAGATAGCTAAATTTTCTTACAACATAATGCATTTGGCTGTGTTGTATCCCTAATGAGTGATGCATCAACTGATTTAAGCTGTATCGTCACAACATATGCTGTACTCACTGAGATTCGGAGCAAGCACCCCTCATTTCAGGTGCCAAACACTTTAATGTTGCCCATTATGCCACTGCAGCATAGTAACCACCTCTGCCGATTGCCTTTTTTGAATTTCTAGTCAACAGAACCTCAGTATTTAGCCTATTATCCTCAAGCGATGCAAAATGATAAATAACTTCAATAAATAGTTAAAATAACATTTTCCACTACTATGGTGTCTACTTTCATTGATTTATAAAGGAAATCGCCCACTTGTTTAATTTTCGTGTCAAGACCCAAGTGTACAGTATCGGGTAAAAAACTGAGACATTTCTGGGAAGAGGACGGCAGAAAGGGAAAGACATTTTTGGAGGGAGAAATAATTAGGCAAAAAAGGTGACATAAAGTAGAAACCCTTAATGTTTTCTTTAGACGCTGAATGTTACTGATGGATTTTCAGTAGTTTATATTTTATTTGCGAAATTTAGTGTGCTTTTTATTTGAGAAAGGTATCACTAAATACTTTCCTAAAGTATTTTAGCTGTAAGTACCAAGCAGCTTTTATCAGAAGATAAATATTGTAGGACATATTGCCATTGATATACTACTGGTATAAATGTTTTATGTTTACGAATTACTGCTTATGTGAATGCAGAAATATGGATTCCATGGAAGGTTCTTACCATTCTGAAGAAGATTTGAATTGACTTATGGAAGTTAGGAAAATAGTTTAAAAATATGGATTTTACAAAAGGTATTTATGAATATAAGTGGTCTGAGAGGCGAGCACTTTGAAACTCTACACGGTGCGGGTAAGTGTTTCGCTCCAGCACCTTATGATTTTTCCAATTAGTCTAACTCTGAACACATCTTGTTAAGTATGGAGAGACTATTTGAATGTGACCACCGTCTTAACTGCAGTTCCCGGATATTGTGTAGAAGATTTAAACGTAACTATTGGCATTAACTGGCAGATCTGACATTGTTCCTACTAGTATCGAAGCTTCTTCTTTGATTACTGAAACTGTGCACGTGAAAACCGAAGAGCTGCAATTACTATCTTTCGACATCTACACGCCTGTTACTAGTACTTCACTAGTGTACCATAAGAGCTATTCTGGTGAATATGCTACTCAAGATCCTGGTCACCATGATCATCTCACAAACCAAAATTAAGAAAATCTTGGACAGCTTCCTTCAAAAATAGCACCTACCTAGTCTCTGTCTTCAAAGAATGAAGAGAATCTCCGCGAACACTATTTTAAAACGCTAATTCGAAGATGTCTTGTAGAAATCAATATTTGAAGTATCTAGTATAGAGGATTAGGCATTAACAATCTACACATTTTCACAGCTTCGTTCCTCTCAAGTACAAAAGAAATTTAGTAAAGACCCTCAGCCACAGAGTTAGAGCTATATGCTCAGAAAATGTAATTGAAGATGAATTAACCATTGTATTTGATACCTTGATTGAAAATAGCTATCCCGACAAATTTATCAAGAAACACATGACAAAGAAAGCATAAAAGGACTACTCACTACTCACTATCCGTAAACAAGAAGCCTCTACACATACGACTGCAATTCAAGACCTGAGATATACCAAGCGAAATAATTACGAATAAAAATTAAGAAAATCAGTTCAGAGAACTTGTAATGCTGGCGAACTACACGTCTTATTGTCTACACGACCGATGGTGATTCCTCGACTGAAAGATGAAGTACCTAGACTAGCTAGCCACTTCCAATTGTATCTACCAATTCAACTGCGTTTGTGGAGGAGCGAGTTATATTGGCCGTTGCTCTAGGAACTTGATTTTTCGTGCTCTCTCGGGAACATCTCCCAGTATGGCTAAGTAAAGGTGTGGTGACAACCATCAGCAGCTCGAAATTAGACTATCTGGTCCAAACCGACCGGCCACAAAGCCAGCCAGCATTGAAGAATCCTTCTCTATCATCTACCGGGTGCCTAATAAATTGCCAAAAACATCGAAGTACCACATGCTCCAAACAGCAGAGGCTATCGCAATTCATGTGAAACAACCAGTGCTTTGTGTGCAAAAGAAACAAGTCAAGCCAGCCACTACTACTGCTCTGGCGGGCCTTGAATAGAGACCATAAATTCACGAATTCTGTATTATTATTATTACATGACACTACAGAAGGTCGTAGGTTCGAACCTCGCGGTGTGGGTGCGTACTACTGAAGAGTCCCAAACCAGGCTGACGAAATATCTGTCCAGTACTCCCTGTGGCTGGCTTTCGAATAGTTCTCTAACTGATATGAACTCATGATGAAATCCTCCAACCAATCAAACAAAATCCTTACAAAAAACAATACTTGAAAAATATTACATTAAACTTGCCTTGATAGTCCAATTTTAAAACCAGAGGATGTTTCTTTTTGTATTAATGATACTTTCCCCAGTGTTTTTTCCTTCCCTTTACTTGTGACTGTGACCCCTAAACAACATGTTTACCCACATTTTCCATCTATTTTTATACATTACAGTCAACTGTGAGCCTAATGAGCCCAGTGGTAACGTTTTTGACTAAGGCATTGCGTGACCTAGTTTCAAATTTCAGGAAAGACACGATTTCCTACACGATTGCAGATATGCCTTGTTGACAAGTACTACCATGGATGAGACCTAGGTCCAAGGGATCCTGGTGACTGTCTCCAATCATTTAACATTCCGACTTATGTTTGTACAACTTTAACCTTCCATACAACAAGTTCATGCGTGCAATGGTCACAATATTCAAAACAAATACCTTACACGTTTGAGACGAATAACCTGCCAGGGAGTACTGGACAGCTGTTTCGTCCCAGTTGAGGACTCTTCATCAATACTCACCCACACCACGGGGTTCGAACCCACGACCTTCTGGTTACAAGGCAGGCGAGCGACCTCGTAGACCGTTAAGCCACTGGGACCTGACTGATCTAATGACCAGCCCATGAATTCTAAATTCTGTCAATTCACGGCATAGCGCAGCCACTTCACAATGCCTTCTTTGATGAGTTACTGCCTCACCTTCAACCTGCTGTTACACCCTACTGGTCATGGCTTCCCACTAGAGCTAATCACTAGTGAGCATCAGATCAAGGACTTAAGGAATTCTTAATTCCTTTGAACACAGAAATGTCAACTAGTCAGATGGCAATAAAGATGTTCTTATCGAACATCTACAGATTTAAATAATCAACAGTATTGGGTAATAAATTGAAGGTTAATCAGCTCAATCCCTGTTGTCAACTACTAACGTTAAAGATTTTCATACTGGGTTAAAACAACTGTCAAGAATATATATATACCTATATGAATAAAAAAAGATGTATTTAACAGGTATATGTATATTATTTTATAGAACAATAAACTCTGTCTAATCGATATTTATTTTTTGTATTTTAACTCTTCACATCTGTAATGTACAAATTATTAATTAATGAAAACACAATTTAAAACACTGAAGAGTTAAAACAGCAGACGAAACACTCACATACACATACACACACACCTACATATACATAATGTGTGTTAAAATTAACATTGTTATAGTGTTTCTCAAAAATTTACTTTGACAAGAAGAAAGAGAAAAAAGAAAATTAAATTTTGGGGCATAAATGTTACATAAATGTTTCATAGTAGGTTAATTAGACCTTTTTACATTAAGGCAATTCATTCCTATTTCATAAACAGACTGATTTAAGTGACATTTTATAAATTCGATAACATTATAATTCATGTATTAATACGCAAGTTGATACGAATATACTGATTTTTTTAACTAAATACACAATATTGTTAATAAATGATATAAGTAGTATATAGTATATTGACAAATATTAATAATCATAATAATAACAGTAATAGTGATAAAATTAATTTTCAGAAAATATTCGACAAATAAAAAGGAAAGACGTGTTTCAAGCATAATAAAATAATAATCCCTTGAAAATACTTTATAATCGAAATATTATTCTAAATAGTTACATAGTTACTTAGTTTTAAATAAGTAGTATATGATGAATGATTAAAAGAAGGTGAATAATGATTCATTCATTAACAGGCTTAAAAGAAGAAGATGATGATGATGATGAAAACGAAGAAGAGATTACCAATATCAATTTAACATCATTCTCAGGCTGATTTAAACAAACCATAAAACAGCAGAAACAACAAGAAAGAGGGTTCAATAAAGAGAAAAAAATATATAGATTAAAAAATAACTTTAAAGTATGCTTCACTCCACCGGATAATTTTTGATGCTCTAGCTTACAGTGCTTGCTGATCATCGTCGAGATCTTAAATATACATTTATTTTGTTTTTACTTTAATTTTTGTTTTAATTAATATACAAATTTAAAAGGCGGTTGTTTCAAATTGACTCAATCAAGTGTTATGACGATGATGAGGATGGTGATGATGTTTTTTCAAGTTGACGGAATGATGGATATGATGATGTACTATTGATCAGGGGTTTTTCTTCTTCCTTAATATTATTATCTCCACTTTTAGGTACATTTGGTTCACTTTGAGTTTTCTTCTGTTCGCTTAAGTTTTCATTATCATTTGAAAGATTACATTTAGATAATCTTAAATTATTATTATTATTATTGTTAGTAGTAGTAGTACTGTCATCGAATGGATTTAAAGTACTATCCATTGATTTACTGTGAACAAAACCTCTTTCGTTTGCATTACTATTACTATTATTATTATTATTACTATTACTATTAGCATTACTATTATGCATTTCATATTCTTCATTCATGACTTCATCAAAAGAAAATTCATTGGATGAAGCAATATTTACGGAACACTGATCACTATGCAAACTTGGAGAGGTTAATACAGACCTGGATCGTTTCAATGTAGACCATGGACTAACTTCAGATGAAACACGTTTCCGTAGACTCCATGAATTGTGTAATATTTCATCACTGTCAAATTTATCATTAATTTCATTGATAAACTTCTGTTGTTGATGTTGATGTTGTTGTTGGTGGTGGTGGTGTTGGTAGGGGTGGTGTTGGTGTTGTTGATGAGGATGACTCGTGTGATGGTCATAATTTTGATAAGATTGAAATTGTTGTACACTTGAACATTTATTGTTCTCTTCATCTTTTATTCTATCCGTTTGATGAATAGTATTCATGTTACTACTATTCATATTATTCTGAGTAATATTCATTGCCCTTGTATCATTGGTTTGTTGTATTGATCCTGAATTCATTATTATTGTTGAGTCTAGACTATACGTGGAACCATGATCGAAGTAGTCCCCTGTTGAATGGTGATGATGATGATGATCTTCGGATGACTGATCATTATGATCATCATGAAATGTAGGAGAGGATGAGATTGAAGCAGATAAACTCCAATTGAAATTATGCTTACACCTATTCGACCTGTTGTTATTCATGTTATTCGATGTATCTTCTGTATTCTTATTTCTCTGATGAAATAAAATAAAAAAACGATGAATAGATTATTATGTGAATCGGTCACTGGATGGTCACTGAGATAAGCCTCTAGTATTGATTGAAATCAATCGATAACCTTAGGAATGTGTAAATAGATCTTAAATAAATAATATAGCATTAGTCTTTTGATTGGACACTAGTCAGTAACTAATCTCTCTGTCTGTCTGGATTCAACGTAGAACTTGGCACTGAAGTGCAACAGTTCGAGTTGCCACGTTCCAAATAGCACACAAAGATAGACAAGAAAATGAGTGAAGAGAATCAATAGAGTTATGACAAGTATAAGAGTGAAACAGAATGAGTAATGGTAGAAAGGAATATGAAAAATTACAGAGACTGAATACATCTGCGTAAGCCATTGACAACGATTTTGAGCCATGTCACCTATTGTCTCCAGCCATTGATTCTTAGAGTCCCGAGGGTGGGCCCCAACCTGGAAGTCTGCATCTCCCTACCTGACTCAGTTTAACTGTCAAGGATTTCATGGATTGATGAGGCCATGTTTTTGTTGGGCCACCACTTACTCTTTTCCAACCTGCACCTATATCAGTTAGTAATGCCCGTCGGGGGAGGCGATGGTTAGGCATGCGCAGCACGTGGCCTAGCCATCTCAATCTATGTAACTTTATAGCCTCTTCGATTGATTTTCCCTCTTTGCCCAACACGCTACGCCTAACGTCAACATTACTTACCTTATTATACCACCTAACGTGAGAAAGAGATCGTAAACATCTATGATCGAAAACAGACAACCTTTTCATGTCTTCAACGTCAGTAACTAGTACGACGTGTCTAGTCCTTTCTTTCTTTGGTTCAGACTGAATTCTACCAGTCAGTCGGGTTCGGAATGTGGCCACAATGCCATTAGGTAGCTCTCCATCACGGTTCACATTGATTTGATGATATTGTAGTGGGGCCTGACTGCTAGCCAAAGTTAGTAGACAGTAATTGACGTCAATTTTTATGTCCCCAATATTGGTGGTGAGAAAATGAGAACAAAGGCTTTGCGTAGGCGGATACAGTTAGCATATGGAGGATCTGAAACAGCCACAAAGAGATGCACGGTTAACTTTCTGTGAGAAACAACCAATCAGAAGACTGTATATTCTACTCACAATAATCTACAATAATGTACTTTAAAATCTATAAATATGTGTTGATTTTCCTTAGAAAACGATCTGTTGCCTGGCCCTTGTCTTCTGTTGTTACACTTCCAATTAGATCTCACCATCAGGCTTAACTCTAATACACCTACATAACTTTACAAATAAAAATTCAAATATAAACCAATCATGGTGTTTTGTCTATAGGATAATAAGATTGGTGAATATAAATTGTGCAATTAGTCATAATAGTAGTAATGATAATAATAATAATAATGGTTTAATCAATAATAAGGATGAAAAAGTGAGGCAATCTGTGATAACACGAATAATGAAAAACAGCATGATTAAACAAACAACTGTTCAGGTGGAAGTAGTCGATAAAGGCTAGTAAAAACAAATGAACCGATTAAGTAATGTTCGATTGTAAGGGAAGTGAATGAAATAACTTTTTAATGAAGATGCGATAAGATTAAGGGATGACAAGAAAGTGGTTGAAGATATAAGTAAGGGGTGGTGTAGAAGTCATCAATTGGTTATGCCTTAATAGGCCATTATCCCTCCCTTGTCCTATTAAGACATAACCAACTGATGACTTCTACACCACCCCTTACTTATATCTTCAACCACTCTCTTATCACCCCCTAATCTTATCACATCTTCATTAAAAACGTGTTTCATTTACTTCATATACATCAGTGTGTAGAATGAGTGTCTCGATGAAGCACAACTATGGTGACTGAAGTAATGGATGACAACTGTTCAGATCCCTAAGGCGACATCAATTCCTTCAAGGCCGCAGATACGCCCTACTTTCTCCAAGCTGCGGCTGCTGGATTCAATATAGAACTTTCTCCAAGCATCTAATATATATATCAGTTCAGAGTGCTCCCACGATAACAAGTCGCTCAGATAGCTGACCACACTGAGAACTTTACTGATAGAATTCAGCCATCACCGAACATCAAGAACTAGACGAATGACACTGGTTACTTCCAGCTAACCAGTCAGCGTATCCATTACAATTATACACAAGGTCTACGTGAGCCAAAACCCACTGACTGCAGTACTGCCGCGAGGAGATATTCGTTAGTCCTTTTGAGGTCACAAATTCTCTATGCTAACAAGTGTCAATAAGCATGACACTTTAGTGTAGGGCTTTCTGTCAACCCGCCAAGCCCCCCACCCCCACACCTTCCTCCAACCATCAAAGCACTACTTTCTTTTTGAGCATGAATAAAACGCAAATCTAACAATCCAACTTGTAATACTTACTTCTTTAAAAAATTCACTTTTAAAATTATCTTCATAAATAATTAGTTCTTCATTTGATTCCTTTTTATAGTCATCTTTTTGTTCATTTAAAGAATTTTTAACAAATGAAGTCTTTGTTAAAGTGTTCACTACATGTTGTTTATCTGCATTGTTATCATTGTCTGTGTCACAGTGTTCATTGGCGGTATAATCAAACGTATAATCTTGATTATTTCTTATATCTGGAGCTTCTTCTGTAGACAATTCATCATTGTTAGTCTCCTCCTCATCATTATCACCATCATTAGCGTCATTATTATTATTATTATTACTATTGCTATTGTTATTATCCCTAGTATTATTTGATGTCGTCAGTGTATTACATAATTCAGAGATAATATGTAATTTAGGCATAGATAAATTTGATATCTGTTGTTGTACATCTTCTTCTACACTTTCACCAGTTGTTATATTCACTGAAGAAGTCGATGGGGACGAGGCAAATGAATCAAATATTGATTGATTTGTATTCGGTGTTGTTGGACTTTGATTTGTTGTCTCCGATTGTTGATATCTCCAATCGTATTGAGCAAGCCAATTTTTTTTCGGTTTAAATGAATTAATTGGAAATAATGGTGGCAGTGAAGTGGATGATGATGCGAATTTTAATTTGAAACGATTTATAGTCACAGGAGGACTATGAACTTGTGATGATGTTGAGGATGACGAGGATGAGGATGGCGAGGATGAGGATAACGAGGATACACTGACTACACCATTTTCATCATTGATTTCAATAAAATTTGTTGATTGTCTTGATGATCGATGTGATGCGGATGAAGTGGTCAATGGATAAAATTGTGTATTGTCAAATGATGTTGTTGTTGTTAAATTAGGATTCGATGTTGGCTTACTTGTATTATAATGTAATAAAGAATTCACAGCGTATCTTTCACCTCTTGGAACTGTTTGTAACGATTTGTGTTGGACTTTAGGAGGAGTATTCACTGCCATAGATGACTTATCATTCTGTGAATACAAATCAGAATTAATTGATACATTTATTGAAGTATTTTCTATGGAATGAGATAACTCCAATTTGGATTTCGCATGATCATTATTATTGTGTAGAAGATGGTTAGTTGACTTTTTTAAAGATGTTGACGCACGAAATGCTGCTAAAGACTTTTCGAAGTGTTCATCTACAGCCATTTCTGCAGCTGAACGTTGTTGTTGTTGTTCATGGTGGTGTTGGTGTTGGTGTTGATGTTTCTTTGCCTTTGCCTTTGTCTTCTCTTTCTCCTTCTCCTCATCCATTTGTTGTCCATCTTCTTTAAATGTTTCTTGACTAGAATCACATCGATGAAATGATGATTTGGTTTGTGATGAAAGTGTCGATGGTTTATTGTAGACTTCAGCAAATGTTGGTTGCTTTTGTAAGTCAGATGAATTAAAGTCCGTCTGTTGAAGGTAAAGAAGACAAGAACAAGAGGTTAAAAAGAATATTTACTTTTTGGGATAATTGTGATAGAACCACATGCCAACCGTGCATGTGGTCTGGGAATCGATCCCCTCCTCCTCCGACAAAGAGGGAAAGTTGGACGTGGAGCTAGCAACCCCATGCTACCAGAGCTTCAAAGATCCACGTTGAAGCCCTATTTAGTTTATAACGTTTAGGAGACTGTTGAGTGACATAAAGTGCCAGACCCTCGTGTGGAATCCAGGCGGAAAACGAAAGGCATTTTGTGGGGAAGAAATGAGATCTTGTGGGCAGTCGTGGAGCCAGCTAAAAGCTACTCTAAAGAATGAACTGAAACAGAGGTGTGCTACTGAAGATCTCTATTCTACTTGGAACCTAAGGGGGTAATAATGATACAAAGCACATACATATACATATATATAAGTTCACGTAAAAGAGATACCTGAATTGGAACTCATTGTAACCTAACCATTCAATTTTCAATCATTAGGTGACAAGTTCAGTCACCAGGCAATATTCAGGCTTGAACAGTCCTACGGTATTTATCAGCTCTTTTCCAATAATGCATGAATTATTCCAGTGATATTGGAGAAGTGAAGATGGTTGATAAAATCAAAAGATTCTGAAAATCAGTAAGCAAGATTGTTTGTTTGCCGCGCACATCTCCGTTGCGTTCGGTTCTCCACCAACATTTTCATCACCTGGCTCCACGTCTGCCCACATACTTTCATCTCCTCTTCGCATCACCTCCTACATGTCACCCCACCCTCGCACTGATGACCAACTTGCCGCTTCTCATTCGGGTGCCACTCAAGTGATGGCCTTTCTTGTGATGTCACTCTCTTGATGGTTTTTTATCAGAGTATGGCCACCAATCCACTTCCATTTCTTCCTGCATATTTCTTACACAATCGGTTCTTGCTAGGTTGGTTCGCTCATTGTCAGAGATCTCACTCTGTTGCTGATCTTTTCTGACCGGTCATCTGATCTTGAGTAGTATTGAGCAAAGACAGCTATTGATGAAGGTCTGTAATTTGTTTGAAGTAGCCGTCATGATGCGGCGCAACGCGGAGCCAAGTCTCTGATCCGTAAAGTAAGTAGCACTGACTTCACATTAGAGTTGAAAATCCGGTTCTTATTTTCATTTTCATGTTGAGTAGTGCTGTTGACCTCCACACAGACTTGAGAGTAATGAAAGCTTGTCTTTCTTTCCCAATCCTCGCTTTGATATCCTCATCAGTCCCGTCCGCCTGTAGTTGAAACGATGCTTCCCAGGTAGGTGAAGGAGGTTGCTTCCTTCAAATTTCTCCCATTTATGCTGATTGTTGTCTGTTGTCATTTGCCCTTAGTAAAAAAGAAAATGTTTTTCAACAGAAAAAGTATTTAGTTTTGAACTTGTACACCTTGTGTACATATTGTATGATAAATCATACCATTGACTGGTTGTGAATACCAAATCTTTTGTCCACTTTGTTAATGGATAACTATTGGATTTTAAAATTGTAATACATTTATTTCTTCCAAAAGGATTAAGAATTTTCAATGTTTGTTGATATACTACTGACTAATATAAAGTAGTTGAAAACAACTCACGTTAACAATAGAATTGCTTACTAATTTGAAAATTCACATTCAGTCATAGAAAAGAAAAGGCGTTCAGCAAAGAATCTCTTTTCGGCGATATCATTCTCAAGCTGTACAAACCGCAAATTTATAGTAATTTTTCTTGGCAACAAAAGGAATATTTCCAAAGATGTGTTAATGCAATTGTTAATTTTTTGACAACAAATTACGTAATTTAGAAGGCGTTAATCGGTTAGAAACTAAAATAAAGTTACAAAGTTACGTAGTCTAATTGCTAGGGTTCAATGAAAAATGAATGAGAGTCAAGTTAATAGTCTGAGTAGAATTCACTTGAAAATGAATGAGAGTTAAGTTGACAAGCTGAGTAGAATTCACTTAAAAATAAAAATAAAAATAAAATAACTAATTGCTTACTAGCCGAAATGGAAGTCGAATAAACACTAAGTCTTTTCTACTTATATATATGTGTCAAAAACAAGTTCACTTTTAACAGTTTGAAAAAATTTGGACATTGGGTAATTGCGATATTCATTATAATAAAGGTTTATTGTATTTTCAAAAGAATGGATACTGAAAAAAGAATACTCTTTTCGATAACCCCTTCATCATCAGGCTCTACAGTTATACACACATTATAGTGAATGAATGAATGAGTGTTATTAACAACATTAATGTTGTTTAAATAATACCGAATCAATAATAATATCAATACATTACAGTTCAATAGCATCAACATAACAATATACACTGAATGTCAGAAAAATTAGGAAAGATAATAATACAAATTCGTGAATTTATAGTCTCTATTGAAGGCCCACCAGGGCAGTAGTAGTACATGGTTGGACTCGCTTCTTTTGCACACAGAGCACTGGTTGTTTCACGCGAATTGCAATAGCCCGTGCTATTTGGGGCATGCGGTGCTTCGATGTTTTTGGCAATTTATTTGGCACCCGGTAGATGATAGAGAAGGATTCTTCAATGCTGGCTGGCTTTGTGGCTGGCCGGTTTGCACCAGATGGTCTAATATTGGACTGTTGATGGTCGTCACTAAACCTTTACTTAGCCATACTGGGAGATGTTCTCGAGAGAGCATGAAAAATCAAGTTCCCAGAGCGATGGCCAATATAACTCGCTCCAATGAAAGCGCAAATGAATTGGTAGATGCATTTGGAAGTGGCTAGCTAGTCTAGGTACTTCATCTTTCAGTCGAGGAATCACTACCGGTCGTGTAGAGAATAAGACGTGTAGTTCGCCAGCATTAAAAGTTCTTTGCACTGACTTTCTTAATTTTTATTCGTAATTATTTTGCTTGGTATGTCTCAGGTCTTGAATTGCAGTCGTAGGTGTAGAGGCTGCTTGTTTACGGATAGTGAGTAGTCCTTTTCCACTTTCTTTGTCATGTGTTTCTTGATAAATTTGTCAGGATAGCTATTTTCAATCAAAGTATCATATACAATGGTTAATTCATCTTCAATTACATCTTCTGAGCATATAACTCTAACTCTGTGTCTGAGGGTCTTTACTAAATTTCTTCGGTACTTGAGAGGAACGTAGCTGTGAAAATGTGTATATTGTATTGACTCCATGTTATTTAAACAACATTAATGTTGTTCATAACACTAATTCATTCATTCATTCACTATTATGTATATACAACTGTAGAGCCTGATGATGAAGGGGTTATCGAAAAGAGTATTCTTTCTTCAGTATCCATTGTTTTGAAAATTTTAATGGGCATTTTTAATCAGTTTTTGTATTTTCCAGTGAATGAAAAACAAAACGATATTGTTATCGTTTTTACTGACGTTTCGCTACTTAATGTTACTGCTTAAACTTCATCAAAGTAGAATTATTAAACCGGAATTTACAAAATCCACTCGGCTTGCTTTATATAACAACTTAATCATCGTTCCTTAGCAGGGATCATTTTTGCGTTGTTGTCAAGTTGGCCAGTTGATAAAGATAACAAAACCAGGTGTTGATGACCGTTGGATTTGATAGGTGTATAAAATTATAAAAGCAGCGTGTGTGTTTGCTTATCATGAAATTGCTTATCACATTCGTGTTGATTTTGTCACTTCATGGTGAAGGTGAGGGGATGTGTGTTGTAACTAGGTCAAATTCTGTTTCAGTCCATCATTCCTATTCAGCTCAGGCAATTTGGATTCCACTTGATATGAAGTGCTTCTGATGATATTAGACGTTCTTTGTGATTTCTGAAATGCTTTTTCTGGATGATGATTTCAATATTGTCAAAATCAATTTTGTGACCTGATTCCATAGCGTGTAGACGAGCTATGGCTGATTATTTTTCTTCAAGCTTTTCTAGTTCAACTGGATTTCTCGGTAGTCGAACAGACACTCACTCACTCTATGGTGTTCATTTCTTCTGATAACCTTGATTTCTCTTTACTGAGGTTTGTCCGATGTATATCGCACAATATTCCAAGCATTTCATTTTATAGACACAATTAGGTGGAGAAACTTTAAGAATTTGCTCTTCAATATGGATCTTGTCAATTCTGGTTTAGCAATACTGCTTTGATAAAGCTATTAGCAACAGCACTAAATAGCGAAACGTCAGTAACGACAACAATATTGTTTTGCTCTTTTTCATTCATTGGGAAATACAAAAATACCTTTATTATCGTGCAGAACTCCGCCAACAGGAACAAGCTGGATTCAGGAAAGGCAAATCATGTGCTGATCGAATTGCAACTCTACGCATCATCGTCACAGAACAAAGCATGCAATGGCAATCAAACCTCTCTATACCTCAACTTCATTGATTTTGAAAAGGCCTTCAACAAACAGAGTTGACCGAGAAGTAATTTGTAAACTTCCTCAACACTACGTTGTACAGTGGCGAAATCTTTGTCAACCTCATACAACAGCTGGCTGGCTATAGGAAAATACCTTCCACGTGTCAAGTGATCCACAAGAGAAAACTCAGCTAGGTGTTCAAAGTGAATGCGGGGGTAAGACAGGGCTGGATGTCTATTGTCATTGATGATATTCTTAATTGTGGTGGACTGGATTATGCGTCAGGCTGTTGGGGGCGAGGAGACAGGAATACGCTGGACTACCAATGAGAAGACTCTAGAAAGTCTGCATTTCACGCGTGGATGATATATGTGTAATGTCACGCAAACTCGAAGACTCGCAGGCAGGCGAAAACCAACAAGCTGGCTGAAGAGGCTGGCAGCGAAAACAAGACTGCAGGTGAACACAGAGAAGACAGAAGGGATGAAGATAACCAACTAACAACAGCAACAGCAACAACCAGCACCAATCACCATCAATGGGAGAGATTTAACAGAGGTTACCTTCTTCACTTATCTGGCTAGGGAGCATCGTTTCAACTACAGGCAGTCAGAACAGATGATGATGTCAAAGCAAAATACACCTTCATCAACCTGAAGCCAGTTTGTGAATCTTTCGCACTCAGCATAAGGAAAAGGATTCGCATTTTCAACACAGATGTGAAGTCAGTCAGTTCTTCTATATGGGTCAGAAACTTGCACTGCGTGTCAAGAAAAGGATTTCCAACAGCCTGTTGCAGACTTTCATCAACAGCTGCCCACTTCGCTGGCTGACTCCATACTGAAGATCAAATGGCCAGAAAGAATTAGCAACAAGAAACTATGGGAACAAACCAACAGGCGAGAGCCGATCGCTCAAAAAATATGTAGGAGAAAGTGGAGATGGATCAAGTATACATTGAAGAAGCCGCCGGATGACATCGCGCGTCAGGCCCTCGAGTGGAACCCGGAAGGGAAGCGGCGAGTGGGACGTCAGTGCAAGGGTGACATGGAGGAGATCAAGTGAAGAAGAGCTGAAACAGTGTGGACTAACATGGATGCAGGTGAAAAATACAGCAGAAGACAGAAGCAAGTGGAGACGTGCAGTTGAATACCTATGTCCCACTAGGAACCCAAGGCAACAATAATAATAATATAATAATTAGCAATAACTCTCTAGCTGACTTCATATAAATAAATCTTTGCTTTTCTTACAAAAACAAAAAAACATTTGAAATTAGTGTCATACATATATAAATGTTATGATGTGATGTTTAACTTACTGAGACATCGACTTTCAATCCTCTTAATGCTTTGAAGAAATGTTCATCTGCGTCTGCAGTCTGACGAATAATTATTTTACTGCCTTCTTCAGATTTTTTATACCTAAATTTATTGAAAAGATAAAATGAAAAAAAAACGGATAAATAAAAAAATTTTCAAGTATTGGTTTTGTCGAGATTTTGTTTGAATGGATGGAGGATTTCATCGTGAGCTGACATCACTTAAAGAACCACTGAAAAACCTGCAAGGAGTACTGGACGGTTGTTTTGTTCCAGTTTGGGGCTCTTCATCAGTACGCACCCACACCGCGGGGTTCGGAACCAGGACCTTCTGGTTACAAGACGAGCTAGCTCGTAGACCATTCAGCCACTGGGACCCGATCCAATGAGAAGCCGTGACCAGTAGGCTGCAGCAGCAGGTTGAAGATGAGGCAGTAAATCAGGGAAGAAGACATTGCGAAATGGTCGCGCTATGTCGTGAATTTACAGAAGTTAGAATTCATGGGCTGGCCATTGGATCGGGTCTCAGTGGCTCAATGGTCTACGAGCTCACCTTGTGACCAGAAGGTGTAGATGCGTACTGACGAAGAGTATTAAACTAGGACGAAACAGCTGTCCAGTACTCTCAGGTTTTCCAATGGTTCTCTAACTGATGTTAGCTCATGATGAAATCATCCATCCAATAAATGAAAATGTAGAATTGTACGGTAAGATCATCAGTGGTTTTTATAAAGTAAGATTAATGAACATTGTCGGATGAACAGAAATCACTCACACCTCATGTCATCTAAATCTTCTTCAAAAAACAAACCAAATTTTTTTTATAAAGAAGATTAGAATTAATAGCCCTTCCTACCCATAATTAAAACCAAAAAAATCTGGGTACGTTATTGTTGATGAAACATTCGTAATAATAATTAAAAGAAATGTGATTTGGATACACCTACGGATTTGATGATATTAGATGGTTTGGAGGCAATCGGCAGGATGCCATGGACCTAGGTTTCGTGCCAACTAGCACTAGGTCGAAGGCTTTCTGTGGCGATTGCCTCCAAACCATCTAATATCATCAAATCAATGTGCACCATGATGGCGAGATACCCAGAATGGTGGCCACATGACAAACCTGACTGGTAGAATTCGGTCTGCACTAAAGTAAGGAATAGACACATCACACTAGTGTTAATGACTAGTGTCCAATCAAAGTACACCTAGAGATTAATCAGCGATGCATCTGAATACATTAAATTCACAAGAGGAGAAACATCAGACAGCGAAATTCCTTGTCTTAAATGTCTGAATTAATCAAAAGAAATAACACAAGAAATTTGGAAACATAAGTATAAGGAGAATCAACTCATATAGATCAAATACTCAACTATAATGGAAATATAATAAAAACGACAGCAGAAGAGGTTCGAGGACAATGTGCGTTAACCCTGAAAAATCAAAAGATAGCAAAATGAAACTTAACAAAATCGGAAAGACTAGCTCTAATTAGTCTAAAACAGGATAAAAACATTGTCATTGCAAAAGCTGATAAAGGAAACTCTACAGTAGTTTTGGATAAATCTGGCTATATCAAGAAAGTCATTGAACACATTGAAACGGGTCCATATGAGGAAATTAAGAAGCCTGTAGATACAATAATGAATAAGATTAAGAAATCTACAGCGGATTTAATACGCAGCATGAAGCCGTCACTGGGTGAATCTAAATGCTTAAATTTAATGCCTAAAATAAATAACGCTAGTAAGATACATGGTACAATTAAAATACATAAGCCAGGTCATCCAATACGACCAATAGTAGATTTCAGAAATACCCCTACTTGAGAACTATCAAAACATTTAGCTCTCATATTATGCCCCATTAGAAATCGTTCAAACTGTAGGCTGACATTAACTAGACTAACTAATTCATATAAGATGAAAAGGGAAACTAAATGGCATTCAACTAGAGAATGATGAAACAATGGTTAGTTTTGATATAACCAGTCTTTATGATAATATACTAATCAATATGGCCTTGAAAGCAGTTAAAAAAGAACTAACTGCAGACCCTGAACTCACTTATAGGACGAAACTACCCATTGATAAAATTATTTTAGGAATTCACTTGTTGCTCACATCTACTATCTTTAAATTCCAAGGCAAAATATATAGACAAACAGAAAGTGTAGCAATGGGATGGATCACCAATATGCCCTGTCGTAGCAGATATATTTATGGATGAACAGCTGGGAAAATATTGCTCTTAATACATTTAATCCTACTCCAAAAGTATCGTGGAAATATGTGGATGACACTTTCACTCACAATGTTAAAAAGAACATATTTCTCTCTAGCTTCTTCACACACATATAAACTCACTAGTGGAGGGAATAAAATTCACATTTGAATCGGAAAATAAAAAATGAGAATTAACTACGTTAGATTCTAAAATAAAACGAATAGAAGAAGGTAAACTGCACACTAGCGACGTTTATAAAAAACCAACGCATTCTGTTAATAGATATTTAGACTTTAATTCATCTCATCCGTTAACTGTCAAGGCAGTCTCAGTTAAGTGTCGGACAAACCGAGCAGTAGCACTAAGTAGTACAAGAAAAGACCTAAATGATGAAATGGAACAGATAGAAGAAGAGATGTTGGTATCAAATAACTATCCCATAAAATTCATTAGAAATATCAAAAAAGGTCAAAAGCAAAATAAAAATAATGGTGAAACTGATGATGACCATATAAAAAAGAGAGAGTATAAGGCATCTACAGTTATACCATAAAAGGAGGTAGAGAAAATCTGAGACCACACGTAAGATTCTTAATAAATCAGGAATTACAGTGGCAAAAAGTGATTAACCGAAATTACTACATGCCCGACTCATCTATATTGCTGAAGCTTTGCCTATCGAAACAGAAAAGCCAGATCTCTGTGTACAGAAGAAGTTCGTTCAACCCCTCCAACTTTCATGGTCTTAATCTCTTTATGCTAAGGTATGGTAATCGCCATTTCATGTTTTGGCCTGAACCAATTTTTCATTTTTTTCATTTTGTCTATTCAATATGTCTACTCTTCCTATATTACGTCAATTTTCACTATTGTTACTATTCTCACTATGAACTGTCCCCGGTGTTATTTTACTCGTTCCACTTGTCATTCTGAATCAGTTCTGTTTTGCAACATTATATTTTATGTTGTCAAATTTCACGCAGTATTACGTAACGTTTTTATTTTATTCGATTTGCCTACCGATACTATAATTGAACACCCCTTCCAAGTTCTATACATCCTATGAATTATTGCTACCTTTTTAAGGATTCTGTATAAGATTTCCGAGGTTTCTTCCTTGTATGGAATTACTATCACCAACAATAAGGAATCTAAATCATCAGAAGTAATTTGCATACGTTGACATACTGTTTCGCTCACCACATAGATTGTATATATGACACTGATATCATTATACTACTTGTAAGTAGGCAAACGGAATCATCAAAATTATTCCTTGTGTGTGTCGATTAATTTTGGAATTGATTAGTTTCAGGTTAGATTATGAAACCTCATATCATTAGGATGACCACTAAGAATCAAAGAGTTGTGAGCAGCCACTTCGTCACTGTTTAGGAATCTTCAGCACTACTCACCGTTGCCTCACAAATGATCGAACCCAGAAACTTCAGGTTACTCAGGTAGGTCCTTTAACCAGTCAGTCACTGGGACGCAAACCGACTGTCGTTGAATTCTGCCACCTCTCTCTCTATCTTCAGAACCTATTAATGGTGAGAACAGGAAACCTAGCTTCTCTATTGCGAAACATATTATAGAGACAGGACATAAAATTGACGTTAACACATCTTTTAAACCTATCTATAAAACGTGTTTGGGGCGTATACTAAAGTTTTTGGAAGCCCTAGCTGAGAAAGTTAACAAACTGTCCGTTCCATGTCGGCTTTCTGTAAATGGATCTTCTTAGCGAGTTGTCTTCATTTAGATTTGTCTTTATGTTTTTTAATGAATGTTAATCTCCTAATCAGTAGACCGGATAATTCAAAATACAGCGGGCAATGAGGAAACAGGCAGAAAATGGACTCACACAAAAAAATTGGAGGATCTGGACTTCGCCGATGATATATGTCTGATTTCGTACAAACTGGAAGATATGCAAGCGAAAAGCAACAAGTTGGCATAAGAAGCATCAAAGATAGGACTTCCTTCAGGTGAACATAGATAAAACAGAGGTGATGAAAATTCCTGGGCAACACCACCAACAGAAACAACAACAACAGACAACAATCAGCATGAATGGAAGGAACCTGAAAGAAACAACCTCTTTTAACTACCTGGGAAGCATCGTCTCAACTATAGGCGGACGGAACTGACGAGGATATCAAAGCTAGAATCGGAAAAGCAAGACAAGCTTTCACTACCCTCAAGTCTGTGTGGAGGTCAACAGCACTCAGCATCCAAAATAAGATCCGGATTTTCAACTCCAATGTGAGTGAAGTCAGTGCTACTATACGGATCAGAGACTTGCACTGCGCGTCATAAAGAGCATCTCAAATTAAATACAGACCTTCATTAACAGTTGTCTTCGCTCAATACTACTCAAGATCAGATGGCCAGCCAGAAAAGATCAGCAACAGAGATCTCTGGCAATGAGCGAACCAACCCAGCAGGAACCGATCGTGAAACAAATAGGCAGGAAGAAATGGAGATTGATTGGTGGCCATACTCTGAGGAAACCATCAAGTGAGTGACATCACTAGACAAGCCATCGCTCGAGTGGAACCCGGCCGAAAGGGAAGCGTCGAGTTGGTCGTCAGTGCAAGAGTGGGTGACTTGGATGAGGTCATGTGAAGAGGAGATGAAAACGTGTGGGCAGACATGGAGCCAGGTGAAGACTCTAGCAGAGAACGGAACGCAATGGAAACGCACGACTGAAGCCCTTTGTTCCTGTAGGAATTAAAGGAAACAATAATAATAATAATAATTGACACTTAGTGGGAAGCGGGGGGGGGAAAGAGGGGCGGATATTATATTCTTACAGTCATCAGTGTATAACTGTAGAGCTTGAAGAAGAAGAATAAGAAGACGACGCAG